TTGATCCCCAGCAGGGGGTGTGCAGAAGGCAGCCGATCAGTGACTCTCTCATCATTGTTGTCTCTCTCTCTCTTTCTCTCTCTCTTCCCCCTTCCCTCTCTCTGAAATCAATAAAGATATATATATATAAAAAAAACACATATCAAAATGGAGTTCCATTACTTGCCTTCCTGTATCACCCCCATACGTCATCTCCCTACTTAGAAAAATAATTGACCCAAATTGCACAGATTCCCCAAATATGCAAAATTATGACAAGACAGTCCAAAAAACACAAGGATTGTCACATCATGATCATGTTTAGGCCACCAGATGTTTTGGAGAAGCTCTTTTCAAGCTGTAGTGAACATCAGAATCTCCTGGGCAGCTAATGAAAGCACATGTTGTCTGATTCCACCCCCAGAGTTACTGGTGGGTAGAGCTGGGGAGGGACCTGAGATTGTGCATTTGTCACAAGTTCCCAGGTGGTGTTGGTTTCCCTGTCAGAGGACCATGGTTTGAGAATGACTGTTTCAGAATTTATATTCTGATATCCTAAACCCAGTAAGGTTTACCTATAGTTAGGGGTTCTGTTAATTTATGTTGTTTGTGTTTTGTGTTTTTTTTAAAATTCCCACTTCATTGCAAAGCCTTACACGCATTATAAGCTTTTGCTGGGGGAGAAGTCCAAAGTTATGATGCACGTGTGGTTGATGTTTGATGCACTGAAAATTGATACTATTCCATCATCCATAAAATAGTTTAAATTTCTTCAGTGGAGATCTCTTTCTTTACCTGAGCACAAGAGAAGCAGATGTAGTTGCATCTATTTCTAAGAAGACATAATGATGGCGAAGTTTTCTGGGTTGATCACAAGATTTGGGAATCATCAAAATCCCAAGCATCGCGAAGTGAAAGATTTTGTGATTTCAAAGAGAAAATTATGCCTATCAGGTTCTATGGGGATTTGTATGACATTTTCTAATCTTAAAAATCCTTTCAGGAGACTCTTTTTACTTTCATGTTACTTTTCATATATTTCATTTTTAGCTTTTATTGCTTTAACCAAAAGCTTTTACGTTTTAGACTTGGAAAGGAATTTGTAACTCCATGGGGTATTATTTCTCACGCTTAACAATGTTTGATAGTGTAGATAAAATGCGGTACCTTAAAAAACCCATTCTAAGGTAGTCTGCCTCTGTGACTGAGTGGCCTTTGAAATTAACAAGAAAACCATAAGGAAAGCAAGCACAAAGGGAATTAAGCTTACAGAAATATTTCTACCAGTTTGATCATTTTGGTGAGTCTCTAAAATACATTAAGGATCTTTTCTGTCTCTAGATAATTAATATAAACTTGGAATATCCCTGGCAATGTTATCTCTGATGTCTGTTTATGTCCGAGACAACTAAAGCGAATAGATGTTAATACATCTTCTTTGGGTTACCCTACATGAGTAGGCCCTTCTCTATACCTTTATTCAGGAAATGCTGAAGGTGTTACTATGTTGGTACTTGCTTATAAATGACTCTCTTTCAAAAAAAAAAGAAAAAGGAAAAATGTCCAATTATGACATGACACTTTATTACTTTTTTTCAGACTAACACCGATTAAGAAAATATACCAATTAGTCAAATGCATACGTTGCTTTATGTCTAAATCCTGAAGATTTAGAAATCTTCCCAAGCCAGCAATTGCAGGGAGAGCGCGCTGGTGACTCACTCATTCCAAATGCGGACTCTGACTCCCTTATGCAAGTTTCTTAGTGGATAGGATTTCGGCACTCTCAAGTGTATTTCTCCAGAAAATGCTTACCTTATGCCATTTCACAGAAGCCTAAAAAGATCTCTGCTTTTATGAAGCAAGGCTGGGAAATGCTACTATTGGAGGGTTCAACAGAATGACCACTGGCATCTTAAAAATAAAAGGAAAACAGAAACTTCTCCAGTGGGCTTTCTTTCAGATGAAATGCCCACCATTGCCTGTTTAATGCCAAATCCTCGGTAAAATTGTAAAGTAGGTAGTTCCATTTTGACTGTTCAAAAGCACTCTTCTATTGCTTTCCAACTATTTCACCTATTTCCCAGGAGATCTCTGCCCTCATCAAACTCCTGACTGCCCAAATTCCAGCCACAACTTTTTGATGTACAAGCTCCAAAAGTTATCTCCACTTCTTTGTGATCTTCAGTTTTATCATCTCTCTTTCTCTGTTCATACATTAAATCAGTGTAGTTTATTTCAGATTGATTCTTGGATGAAACAATTTGATAAAATTATTTCATGTTAAGATATATACTGGTAGGCAAAATGCCTCCAAGGAAAACTCTTAAGACATGAGGAGGGAGGGTGACCTAAACTGAAGCCATCGTAATGTATTAGTGGGACATTTCCTTAGCCATGTGTGAAATACCTCACCAGGGAGTGGAGCTTGTGTTTCATGGGCTGAATCTTTGAAAAGGGAACCATGCATATTACTCAAAGCAGTGAGGTACCTTAATTCAAGAGCCATATATTCAAAATGTAATTGTTATAAGGCATGCACAGCTTATACAAACAACGAACTGCAAGAATAATTGTATTGAAGAAAACTTAATCTTTATTTAACTTGCCTAAATTATGTACTCACAGCACTGAAAACGGCCATAGCCTCCTTGTTTCAGATGAAGTGGATTTTTTATTTGTGATAATGGGCGCAGATGCTCATTAACATGCTGTCATAAATAGCTGCATTAAATGTATTACGTGTTCTGTGACATAAATAACGTGTTCAGCATGAGGTGGTTGTTAAAATTATAGTCCCCGGGAAGAACAAAAGAGTAATAAATGCTTTTCAATATAGTCACCTGGTCTTGAATTTGAAATTTATTTCTACCTTACTAAGGCTACTTGTACAGAAATTGCGGGTGTTACTCTAGTGAAATACCTTGATATTCAAGAACATTAGAACTTCTTTCTGCATTCCTATCCGTGGTGAATCAGGTGTTTACTACCTTGTTTCTTTTCTCGTAAAGGAGGTATCATGTAGACACTGGGGATGCATTTATAGCAAAGTCAGTCTGCATCTCAGTAACCTTAGGGCTGGGTTCATTTGATGAATGCCTTCAACCAGCTTCCTGAAAAGTTTCGAAACTGGATGTTGAATTTAGAATTCAGTGCCCTAATTTTATAGATGAAGGAACTGATGTTCTGTGGACTTAAATGATGTGTCTGAATCACAATCTTTAAGCAATAAATACAGGACCAAGCCCTAAATATCCAGACTCCCAATTTTCTACTTTTCACTAGAAGAATGGAGGGTAATAATTCGATTAGCTACACTATCAGGGTCTGTGAGGAGGAGAAGCTTACTGGACAGTGAGGGGGCCAGGCTATATCTTTTGGGATATTTACCAACATCATTTATGGTAGACTTACATGTTTACTGTTATTTTACAATTTTTGCTAATTTGACCAAAGTTCCAGCTGCTTTCTTTGGGTGAATGGCCTCGTTGGATGAAGTGAGTGTAGGATGATGATGATGCAGTTCACTGGGAAAAGCTCAGCAGAAGGAGTAAAATAACATCCTTTGGATATACAGTATGGTTTAGAAAAATTTGGTGTGCAAGCACGTGCCAGGTAGCACCATGGAGAAACAGTGAGAAGCCGTTCAGGCTTACCTTCACGGGAAGTGCAGTGCACAGGCCTCGGACTGCTTCTGTCCTTTGGAGCTAGTATGGGTCAATCCTTTAACGAGCACTGATTACAGGCTGTTTAGACGCCTGCCTTTGAAATAGTAGAAAAATGAAAAGTTTACACAAAGTACAACAAAAAATTGTTCCCATTATAGAAAAATTAAGAAAACTAGTGAAGTTGGATTGTGATTCTGAAACGAAAAAAAAAAGGCTAAAGTATACTTTAGTGGATATTTTAAAAATAAAATTAAATGTTGCTTCATAAATATAAAGGGGTCTTACAAAGAGATGTCTAGCTCCCTCTGCATTTTCACACAAAGATTGAGGAGAAAATGGGATTAAATACAATCAAGAAAATTCAGAGTCTAAGAATGATTAAATATTGAAAACAAGGTACCAGGGGACATTGTAGAATTCCTTGTCCCCAGAGATGGTTAAAAATGAAATTGAAAGTAATTTAACTTGAATGATTTAGGTACACACCTGTCCAAGCAAAGGGTGAGCCCAGTGGCCTCCTGAAACATCATCAGTCTTTGATTCACCAACCAAGCATTCTGCCCAATGCCATGCTGTCAGCCCGAAAAGAATATTCTTTAATTATACTTGCTTACCCCTCAGGATTCTTAAATGACTTTCTACTCCTCCTGTTGATTTCTCATGTTCACTTATGTTAATGGGAAGAAAAAAAATCTGACTATAATATTCATTTAGATTTTCTGGCTCATGAGCAATATTTGGATAGAATTTAAGACACATCAGGGACTTATGATTTTTGGTAGTACCTTTATTGACTTGCTTCTCCAAGTGGGATTACTTACCTACTTTAAAACCCACCTGAGCTTTGTTCTAAATAACTTTCTCCACTGTGTTCAAAGTTGTTTTTTTGTTGTAAATAAAACACCCTGTCTCAGTAGATTTTTTTAAAAATTTAATGGATACTGTAATCAGAAAGAAGACATAGAAATAGTACCCCAAATCTAAGCTACTGCACTGCTCACTATCCATTGGTACTTTAAAATATCTAGTTTTATTTAGAAAATTTTAGTTTATTCTGCCTAAATTTTCAAGTACTGACATATGTGATGATTACCATGGCTAGACTTGTATAAATTCTTAGTTTTTCATGTTATTACACTTTGGGCCAAGTGTTTCATTAATTGTGGTTACTTTAATTGGCTGCTTTCTTGCTTTTTTAACACAAAAATCCTTGATATTAAGCTTAATTTATTCACAGACATTTTTCAAAGCACCCAGCTCTTTTGAAAAAGTTTTATAAAGAAAAGGCAGGGGATTTAAGCTTGAGATCTCCTTGAACTGATGAACTTATTTCCCCTGGCTTTCCTGTTCCAGGTTTCCAGGTCAAGGCCTTCTCATCGCTCCACTTTCTGGTGGAGCCCTCCGATGCCATCACCCTGCGGGGGGGCAGCGTCCTCCTGAACTGCTCTGCCGAGTCGGACCGGGGGGTCCCCGTGATCAGGTGGAAGAAGGACGGCATCCACCTGGCCTTGGGGGCGGACGAGAGGAGGCAGCAGCTTCCAAACGGCTCTCTGTCCATACAGAACGTGCTGCACTCCAGGCACCATAAGCCAGACGAGGGCCTCTACCAATGTGAGGCGTCTTTGGGAGATTCTGGGTCAATTATTAGTCGGACAGCAAAAGTCGCAGTAGCAGGTAAGTGGGCTCACCCTTCCTTTCCTTCTCTTTCTCCATCCCCTTCTGATTTCTTTTTGTTGAGAGAAGAAAATAGCCTTTGCAGAATCAATGCATATTTTTAAGAAAAAGAAAAAATGGGAAAGCATGTGCTTCTGTTTATTCCCTCGTGGCCTTGACTGGTTTTTTTTTGTAAATGAGTTTGGAAACAGTGGAAGGATCTCAACAATCAACATAGGTTTCTGAGTTTTTTCCCCCCAAACAAAGTCTAGTTCAAATTGATTTACTATTTATGTGTACGGGAAGGACATTTTATTAATAGAAAAATATTAGAATAATTTCCTAATTAATTTTATTTCACAGCCTCACTAATGCTAAAATGTTGCAGATTTTTTGTTTTTGCCTCTAGACCAGTGAATTTTATTTTAGTTATAATGCCTTTACCTACAACATGTAGAGCTCCAAATGAAAAATAAAAATTTCCATTAGAGCTTCCAAATATCTTAGTGCTTGGTATTGTGTTGACTCAATAACTCATTGATCAGATTTTTATTCTTTAATTTTATTCTAGATATTTTAAAGTGGTATAGACCCTGAAAAAAACACCCCAAAACAGTACTAAATTTTCTGGAATCCTTTGATATTGATATTTCTACCCCACTTATTTTGGTTAGAGGGCAACTCATAATCATTTCTTTTGGCCAGTGCAGTGTTAGAGGGAAAGGAATCAAATTTTTACTCATTTCTATAAAGATTTGGCTAAAAGTTAAGTTTTGATTTCTTTTTAAATTTTTGATATGAGACACAAAGCCAGGCAAATTAATCTTAGCTGAAATAAATTTAGGTCTTCAAACGGGTAAACACATTTGAAGGGCCACTTTCAAACTTCATATTGAGTTATCAGTTAAAAAATTAAGCCAATAGGCTGTTACTTAGTCATTTGATACAGGTTTCCTTTCCCAGGTCCTATTTAGTCTCTTTGCTGGAAGGCTGATGAGAATGAAGACTCGTTGTTAGCAATAATGTATATTCGGACAGTCAGGCAAGACCAACTGCTCGCCCACGCACTCTTCTAGTGCAGGTGCGGTCAAGATGAAATCTGAAGGAGTTTGTTTTGTCAAGTGATGGTCTAAAAAACTAGATTTCATGGATATGCAGTCAGTCCATAAACCCAGCTTCATGCCGCTCTTTTGTGGCTTTCCCCACTAAGATCTTTCTCTCATATTCAGTTAAACCAGATTGAACTTGAGTGAAGATGATCTGGTGAGGAGGGCCCTCACCTAGAGATATAGTAGCTAACCATGCTGATTTAACCTGGATTTGGCCCTTGAAAAGTCCCATATCTGAGAACCCCTTATTCCGGGTCAACCTACCTAGTGATACCCCACCTGCTGTAACAATGACAGACTGAAGCATGGATGCAGAACTTCCTTTTTCACCCAGGGGACACATGAGGTGGCCCCTTGGCCGTGGGAGCTAAGGCTATCAGCTACCTGGGACCTTTGAATGATGAGTGTCTGAAATTTGATTGATGAGCATAAAGCATGGAGAGGACTCAGAATCTATGTGAATTATGACTGATTAAAAGGAACAAGACAGCAGCGCTGAGAGTGAAGGTAAAAGCCGCTTTCCCAAATACAGTAGGACCAGTGCAGTCTGATTTTCTCTCATTTGAGGATTCCTGGACCCTCAGGTCCCCTCATCAGTCACCCCCAAGGCTAAGGGAACTCTGCAAAGTTGAATGAATGGAACTGGCATGTTGATGTCCTATTTCAAAAGGCTCATGCACCTGTGCTGCTGATGAAAACAGCCTGCTGTGTTGTGCTTTCAGTTCTCCTCCAATCTAGATTCATTTTTAATGTGTTCTCTCTTTCAGTGCTAAAATGAAGAACAGTCTCTTCCCTGTGAGATATTAAAACAAAGTGGGTTTGGCTTTCCTATTCTGTAGAAGGATAGGCCGGCAGGTTCAGTCACTGAGTTACAATCTAATATTAGATTGTGTCATTTCGAGGCAATAAGGCTGTTCACGGTGCTTTAGACACTTACCGTGCTGTTTGGCAATACAGCATACATCAATGTTATGTTTGCGGAGTTTAAAATTGCCAAACTCCTGGATGCACAAGGGCATATATCTTTCTCGTAATAAAGACCACGGGCCTGATTTAATCTCCTTTTTAAAGCATTAGCAGTCAATAAACCAGTCACTACTAAAAGGTGAAAAAAAAAAACACCCTGTTCTGTACCCTCAGGTGTAATGTAGATCCCGTTTAATATAATGCCCCTCTTCCATTGTGCTCTCTCAAAGTATCTTTTGATAAAAAGAAATGTGGAACATGCAATCTGTTTTTAATCAATCAGCACATTTTATGCGACGATCTTGCCATGCGCCATTCATCCTGTGTTCTGCGGCCTTCTGAAGCACTCTTTAACCCCTGAGTGCACACTTGGCTGAAGAGGGAAGGAGAGTAAGAAAGATAAAGGAAGGGCTTCCATCCCATCCAACATCGTGTTAAAAATCTCAGTGTTCACAGGCTACTGACTATTGTTGTTTCTGGTAATGGTGGGTTCTATCGGTAAGGAATGCCTGGGCTATTCAGTCTCCATTTGAAAGCAACTTGGCCAGTACTGGCTGGAACTTGGGAATTTTATTTGTATCCATTTAGTTCTAATCTAAAGTAGAGCCGTGTCGCTCCTCCATAAATACCTTCTTTTAGCCCTTTAAATTGAGAGCAGCTTGAGGAGAGAGGCAGAGCCAGATTTCATCTATAAGGCTTCTCCTGAGGCCTGTCCTTCCAGCAAGGCACCGGGAAGGTTGAGTGGTTGCTCAGTAGGCATTTGTCTTAAGGCAGCACGTGGTTTGGGGTTGTCTGCCACATATGGAGAAGTTTTCATCAGTGTCATCTTCCTCCCTGTCCCCTCCCCTTCCTCCTGCACTTTCCCTTGTTTGATGAACTTGATGAGATTAAATTTACCTATTTGTCTGCCTGTAAACATAATCTTGATGGATTGAGTTGGAATAATTTCATTAATATCTCATTAGTCTACAAATTAATGAACTACGGAGGTTTTTGGAATAAGAAGATGGGCTGTGCTGGAATATTTATATGCTGCTTTAAAAAAAGGCATGTGCCAATTCCTCATTTCTTTAAAACCCATGACATCAGGATGAGCTTGTATCTGGCAAAGCAGGTCTTCCCTACGGCAGATATTGCCAGTTCTCTCAGCCTCTGGCTTCTCTTATGTGAAACAGACATAAAGGAGTAACCTACCTCCTGAGGCTGCGGTGGCTTTTAACATCTGGGATGCAAAGCCTCGCAGAGTAGGTTGTTACTCAGTGACAGCAGTTATACCAATAGACATAATGTTATTATTGTGTTATTACACTTATCACGAAATGACTTTTAATATTTTCATGTGATGGTGCAAAATATTTTTTGGGGGGAAGAAATATAGGCATATAGGCTACAAATCATGAGCCATAAATATTGTCACTTTGGATCAGATATCTGCCTTTGTAATCTGTGAGCACAAACTGGCAAGCTCGACTTCAGTTCTCAAAGAATTGAGTCTATGCAGTGTGTTCTGTTGGCAAGCAGCGCCAAAATCTATTTGACTAAAATGTTCATTTTTCACAAGCTGATCTACTATTATATTGGAGACGGTATAATTTGCACCGGTCAAACCAGGAGTTCTTGATCAAGCAACCACAGTTATTTCAAAGAAAAAAGATGCTGAGAAATATTCTCAACCGAACCTCCTTAATGTCCTTTCAACTGAAAAGATTTATTGAAGGCGAGGTCATGGGAGTTAGTTGGTCTAGACCAGGGATATAACATAACCTCCTTTACTCCAGGACAAAAAAGAAAATTAAAAAAAACAAAAAACCCACGCCAATGTGTAAGAAAACAAGATTAGTACAGAGGTCCTCTGAATAATCATAAAAGTACCATCTGGTTCATTTTTTCCACCACTCACTCACCATGCAACCCACCCATGTACCCACACAGATATCTGCACCCACTTCCCCTGCAGGGCTCTGAGAATCACAGCAGGAACCTAAGTGCTGCGCCTGCTTGTATTCACACTCTAGGGGATGGAGGGGTCCAGCTGCTCCCTCAGATGAAGCAACACTTACTGCAGGACACACCATAGGGCATTTTTTGTGCCCATGTGGTTCTTCTTTTGTTAATTCATAAGCATTTAAATCTTGAATATTAAAGCCACTGACTTGCTTTTTTATAACGCTTTGCTCTTTGCACGGTACAGTCAAGTGCATTATCTCATAATGTTAAAAAATCTCTGTGATATCGATTCCCAAACTGAAAGAAGGTATGCAGTGACATGTTGCAGGCAGAGACTGGAACTCAAGTTGTCTCACTCTGACAGGTACTTATTCCCCTATCACTTTGCTTCTCAATCTAAGGACTTGATTTAAGGACACCGTGAATAGATTCCCACACAGTTAGTCTATTATTTTTAATCAGTTAAGCTCTCTAAAATATAACTAAGGAATAATAATAATTAATAATAATAATAATAATTGGTTTTATTTATCCATTTAATCCCTTGAAAATAGCAACTCCTTATTTTAAAATAAACTTATAAATAGTTATGGGGAGGAAATTTTTTTCTTTTATCCTCAGTTCTTTGGCTGGTCTAAGAATTAAATTGACATAAGCAGATTAACAGAATAAAAATAAATAAATTTAATATGTATGGGAGCCCCATAAAATTTGAAACCCAAAGATAGGCAATTGAAACTTAGATGACACCCTAAACTAAAGAACCAGATGAGGATCTGGGGCTTCAGAGGGGAGCAGAGTAATTCATAAGACGTTAGAGGAGCAGATGTTTGGTCATTGGATGTTTGCCCGCCAAACTGATAGGTCATTCAGATAAAAAGTTCTCCCTGGCAGCAGCTCTCTCTCTGCGCCACGCCCCCCATCTAAACTCTTTCTACTAGTTAAGGGAGAGGTAAAAGTTTTTCTGGCTTCTGATGGGTCTTGTTTGCCTTCAGCTCA